CTGAGACCTGCATCACATCGGGGTTTCCTTGCACATTAAGCTGACACTTCCTTTTCCCCTCACTCCCTATTCACTCACTTGCTTCAACATTAAGTTTATAAGTTCTCACTAATCTTGTTTAATGTGTGGTTAGAGCTCTTATTCCATTTAATGTGGTAAGCTGTAGGATAATGCCTGGTAAGGGAATAAGTCCATGAGCTAATACGAAATTGAAGCTTGATCATTACACAGAGTGATAATCTTGCTCTGTAATTGTGGCTGCAAATAAGAGTGCTGACAGCAAGTCCTTCTTTATAACACTTAATCACAGTGATTGTCTGGTCATTAGCTGGGAGATTGTGTCTAGCCTTAGAGGTAGCCTGTCTCTGCCTGGAGCTAATGTATCCACTTGGTGGTTGGAGCGACATCTTGGAATTAGGAAATTGGCGTCGTTGTTTTCGTGAGACGACCAGAGTGGCTGCAGTGGGGTATAATCTGTATAAGTAATTTGCTTTCTGTTTGATCGATAGAGGATGACAGTGTTAGATGATTAATGTTGTGGAGGCATGAGTGGTCCTGCCATTTGAACAGGTATCAAATTATAGGTTGAATCAGTTTGTACTTTTTTTTAGCATGTTATGTGTAACAGAAAGAACTAATGTAATTTTGAGAATTGGTCTGAAAATGAAGTCCTAAGATTAACCCTGCACAGTATAATCCAGATGTTCTAGGACAGTTTCTAGTCCGGTTTGATAGTTTTAGGACTAGCAGTATTTCACCACTCTTCACTTTGGCTGTGTATTGACAAGAAAATTGTATTACAAAATATTTTGATGTTTGGAGCTGATGTGTTCGATACTGATTGTACTTGAAGAACCTATGTTCTATGTATATTGAAGTAAATATTACTTTACTACATATTACACGGTCAGTTGCAGCCATCTTGTAGTCATGGATACAGGGGAGATAACAACATGGGAGAAAAATCACTTCCTCCTTTCTGCCGTTTTGTCAATAAGTTGTGAATGTATTTCTGTGTAGATGTAACGTTTAACGATACAAAGTATCCAGTCCTTGTTTTATCCCCTTAATGCCCAGCGTGAGGCAGGGCTACAACAAGTACCATCTTTTAAGGTCTTTTGGTATGACACGGCCGGGGATTGAAAGACAGGCCTTCCACTCCCTGGTTGGATGCTCTACCACTAGATCACAAGGGCGGCTAGAAGCTACCATAGCTTTGCTTCAGAAGTGACACCACCACCTCTCTCTTATTACTACCAACTTCGCACAGAATCTCTCACTGATGAGTGTAATTTGACTGGAAAGCTATTTGTGGTGTTGTATCATTAAATTCTGGTGCAAAACAAAGATTTGGTGGTGAATGGTTCCAGGGTATTTGCCATGGAGATATAATTTATACACTTGATAATGGGGAATGTTGAAAGTGTGAATGAATGAGGTTTTATGTCTTGGTCAGCAGTCTAGGATTGTCAGAAATTGAGTGAGCTGCAAACGAACAGATAAGGTTACTTTGTATGGTAGTCTTGCTGGAGTAGAGTGCACTTAGTAATTGTAGTGCTTTGACTTTTGTAAGTCATTGTTAAACTATGAGAGTTATGAAAGTCTTGGTGCCTTCTCGGCAATCTGTCTGGTTGCACAAAGGCTAAACATCACCAGGCCTATCCATTCGAATAAGAAATACCGGGGGTAAGAAAAGGTTTCCTCCACAAGAATAGTTACAATAACTTGTATCAGTATTTGTAAAACATTTGTGAAGGGCCCCAAATTTCTATGATGTGTTCCTATTTATAAGGCTGGTGGGCCTGAGAATCTTTGGAATTCTTGGCGTCTTCTGCTGTATGATTCCCTTAGGGTTCAGACTGACAGACACACCAGCTATCCCAGGCAGTCACACTTGCCGCCATTGTCCAGTGTGTCCTACACAGACTGACAGACACACCAGCTATCCCAGCCAGTCACACTTGCCACCATTGTCCAGTGTGTCCTACACAGACTGACAGACACACCAGCTATCCCAGCCAGTCACACTTGCCGCCATTGTCCAGTGTGTCCTACACAGACTGACAGACACACCAGCTATCCCAGCCAGTCACACTTGTCGCCATTGTCCAGTGTGTCCTACACAGACTGACAGACACACCAGCTATCCCAGCCAGTCACACTTGCCGCCATTGTCCAGTGTGTCCTACACAGACTGACAGACACACCAGCTATCCCAGCCAGTCACACTTGCCACCATTGTCCAGTGTGTCCTACACAGACTGACAGACACACCAGCTATTCCAGCCAGTCACACTTGCCACCATTGTCCAGTGTGTCCTACACAGACTGACAGACACACCAGCTATCCCAGCCAGTCACACTTGCCGCCATTGTCCAGTGTGTCCTACACAGACTGACAGACACACCAGCTATCCCAGCCAGTCACACTTGCCACCATTGTCCAGTGTGTCCTACACAGACTGACAGACACACCAGCTATCCCAGCCAGTCACACTTGCCGCCATTGTCCAGTGTGTCCTACACAGACTGACAGACACACCAGCTATCCCAGCCAGTCACACTTGCCGCCATTGTCCAGTGTGTCCTACACAGACTGACAGACACACCAGCTATCCCAGCCAGTCACACTTGCCACCATTGTCCAGTGTGTCCTACACAGACTGACAGACACACCAGCTATTCCAGCCAGTCACACTTGCCACCATTGTCCAGTGTGTCCTACACAGACTGACAGACACACCAGCTATCCCAGCCAGTCACACTTGCCGCCATTGTCCAGTGTGTCCTACACAGACTGACAGACACACCAGCTATCCCAGCCAGTCACACTTGCCACCATTGTCCAGTGTGTCCTACACAGACTGACAGACACACCAGCTATCCCAGCCAGTCACACTTGCCGCCATTGTCCAGTGTGTCCTACACAGACTGACAGACACACCAGCTATCCCAGCCAGTCACACTTGCCGCCATTGTCCAGTGTGTCCTACACAGACTGACAGACACACCAGCTATCCCAGCCAGTCACACTTGCCACCATTGTCCAGTGTGTCCTACACAGACTGACAGACACACCAGCTATCCCAGCCAGTCACACTTGCCACCAATGTCCAGTGTGTCCTACACAGACTGACAGACACACCAGCTATCCCAGCCAGTCACACTTGCCACCATTGTCCAGTGTGTCCTACACAGACTGACAGACAAACCAGCTATCCCAGCCAGTCACACTTGCCACCATTGTCCAGTGTGTCCTACACAGACTGACAGACACACCAGCTATCCCAGCCAGTCACACTTGCCACCATTGTCCAGTGTGTCCTACACAGACTGACAGACACACCAGCTATCCCAGCCAGTCACACTTGCCACCATTGTCCAGTGTGTCCTACACAGACTGACAGACACACCAGCTATCCCAGCCAGTCACACTTGCCACCATTGTCCAGTGTGTCCTGCACAGACAGCTGGAGCTGTCACCTGAACTGATATTGTGTTTTTCTTTTTGAAACTGTTTGTACTTAAGAATTCCTATCTAATTCTACACATCATCATTGCAATTATGACCATTCATCACCTTCTTAGTCAGTACTGTGATAAGAAATGTCAAAATATAACAGATGTAAGAGATGAGCTTTCTGATTCATAAGGTTCTTTAGGCCTGCCATTTTATTTTTGGGGGATCACGGACCTGGCTTTTTTTACCTTTTTTTTTTTCCATCCTCCGACCCTGGACTTTGGGCTGAAAAATCTGTATTCCTAAAAATAAAAAAAAGCCTGGTCTTAGTTAAGGCAGGGATAAAAATGTCACTACCAAGTCTGTTATCCTGAGAGCTTTTCAAATCTGTTAAATCTAAATCCAATCTAAACAAACCCGTATTGAACCATGGACGAATAGACGTTTGTCTTTTGGGTCTCTTGTAGTACAGTTATTTTAGAAATACAAGATGAGTGAGAGTTGTTTATTGTACGATAAAACACTGCAGGGAGAATAAACCATGCGTCGCTTATTCCTTATATGAGATATCAACATTATGAACAGCCTCTTTAAGGATGTTGATAAAATGAAAATTTTAATAATGATGACTTCCTTAATAGAATCCGACCTCGGAAATGTCAGACAAGTCCATTTTACGAACATATGGGTTAAGTTTGGTATTTCCAACATATTCTCACAATCCTTGTGTCAATAATGTGTACCTTTTCTAATACAGATTGTCATATGTCTCCCACTTTTGGATGTGACCGTTCTGCCACTGAGTTTATCTGCATTGCCCAGCTAAAGCTGTGGGGGACAACTCATTAAACACTTCCCTCTCAAAAATAACATCGTCCAATATATGATGTCATCAAGTTGTTGGAATCTCAAGAAATGACGTCATGACAGAACAATGTTTTATTTTGAAATAAAACACACTTCGTTCTTCATTGTTCTTTTCGATGTATCGCGTAGCTATGTTATATTTCAGTTATTGTAACCCTACAAGTACACTTTATACAACAGTGCTGCTTGAGTTGCATATACCTCCAGTTTACATAGCTGCCTATTGTTTGAAAAGTGATGCTTGCGTAAACTGTTGAGTTTATACACTTGTGTGCTATTCATGATATGGTTTGGCTTTGCCTCGTCCTTTTGTCCAGCTGTACCTTGTATTCGATTAACATACTGATTCTCTATAATTCTCTAACATCACTCATTCTCTATCTTTGGGCTAAACTTCCTTTCAGATTTGGGAAGGTCTCTGCCCACATACCTCATTACCTTTGCATCATCAATGTTAAAGTATGTTTGCAATCTCAGATTGTGTCTGAGGCGGTCGGGTAGCCTAGTGGTAAAGCGTTCGCTCGTCACGCCGAAGACCCGGGTTCGATTCCCGACATGGGTACAATGTGAGAAGCCAATTTCTGGTGTCCCCCGTCGTGATATTGCTGGAATATTGCTAAAATCAGCGTATAACCTACTCACTCACTCACTCAGATTGTGTCTTGTGTTACAGCCCAGCAAGTGACCTGAATCTGGATGCCTGCCTGGAAGATGTCGGAATCTCTCTCAAGCTCTTCCTCAACAACAAGTTCACAGAGGCAAAGGAGAGGATGCAGCCTCAGTGAGTTCATCATGCCTCTGTTCATGTGTTGGATCATACTTCATGGATTCAGCCTATCTAGGACACCAACATTCATACCATTGGCTGTACAGAGTTGTTTCTTTGCACGGTGCAAGATTCGTATGATTGGTGGTTTTTGAGTCCCAGATACTCCTTGCTTATGATTCTTGGTATGTCACCACCATACCCGTGCTCATGGGTTTCGCTGAAGTGGTAAATGTCTTTGACCTCCATCACTTTGGGCACTCAACCCACATTAAGCTGGCAAACTGTCCAAAGCAGTGCTAAACCCAAACCCAGCATTTCCATATATAAGGACCAGACTTTTGAAGTGAATTGATGAAGGCCATGGCCACTGTGAAGGCCACTGTGAAGGTCACTGTGAAGGTCACTTACCATAAGAGAATCTCTTGTAATATGTGGTGGGTGCTTGTCATGTTATTTGATGCCTCCTTTACTTAGACTCAAACTTTTTTCATTTTTGTGGAAGCCTCAGTGGCTGAGTGGGTTAGATCACTGACTTTGTGAGCTGGCGATTAGGTGCCTCACCCTGGCAGTGTGGGTTCGATTCCGGGACAAAGAAAGTGTTATCCCAAATATAACATTTGTTGCATTTGACCACTTTCTAAATGGCATTGTGTGTTCTAACTGTGCACTCAGAGCAAACAGTTTGAAAGAGGGCGGGTATCATGAGGCTAGTAGACTGCTTCTGTCTTGGTTTGTCATGTAAAGAATTGTCAATGTTTCCGCAGATTTGCAGTGGTATACTTCCAAATGTCAGTAATGGGGATAGTTAGTGTTGTTACCTGTGAAATAAGAAAGACACATGTCTTTAAAACTGTTGTTGTTTCAGTGCTGAGACCAGCATGTACCATGCCCTGGGCTATGGCACAATCATGTACATACAGGCAGTCATGACATTTGACATGGTGAGTGTATGCATCAGTATGATTTTGTAGGTTAGCTGGTACCAGTGGGTGGATGGATGGGTTTGATTGTGAGGGTGGGAGGATGTGTGGCTGCTTGGATAGTTGGGGCACATGTTTTTCTTTCTTCTTAAACATTTAAATAAATAATAAAGCATCCAGATGTGAATAGTAAAGGTTTCTGGAGACTTTGAGACATAAGCATTGATATAGACGTACAAATGGACACATCGCATGGGGGGGATGAATTGGTTGAAAGATTCTTTGATGGCTATTTGTGGACTGATACTGGGCTAGATATGTTTTAAGGAAATTTGGATTTTGAATGAAATCAGCCAATTTAGAATATAACGAAAAACGACCAATTATTCAAGCCACTTGCTGACAATGATACATGAAATGTGTTTTCTACCAGGGAGACATCGAGGCAGCTATTCAGGCAATCAAGAGGTCTGTGATTGTTTGTAGTAAACATCGAAAGAGGACTTCCATGATTGGGTCCATCACAAAGGCAGCTAACAAAACAGACTATAACAGCTTTACAGAAGGTAAGGAAACACATTCTTTGCCTACAATTGTTGTGTGAACCACTACAGGATAAGCCGTGCCTGGGATGGTGGATTTCTTTTTGGTCTGACGTCGCACTCACAAATATTCCACCTAACGACGGTCTGTAAATAACGAAGTATGAACCAGACAATCCAGTGATTGATATGATGAGCATCGATCCATGCAATTGGGCTACGGTGACATACTTCAACCTAATCAGCGAGCCTGACCACCTGATCCCGTTTGTCACTTCTTACGACAAGCATGGCACCAATTCTATCTCAGATTTTCATTGGGGAAACTTACTACAGTTTTCTTTTTAGTTATAACGAACTCAAAGGGACCACTAATTTTAGTTTGTGATGTCTGTTGTTTGTTATAAGCATATATACACCATATATACAGCAAATCAATGGGACAGTTTATGTCTGTCAGTTCGTTACAAGCCTGTTCGTTATAAACGTAGCTTGCTGTATCAATAATCAGTAAATTTTGATACAAGCATGGGTTGCAGAAGACCAATCTTAAGAGATGGTGGAGTAGCCTAGTGGGTAAAGCATCAGCTCCTGACACTGAAGATCTGGCTCAAATCCCACATAGGTGGAATGTGTGAAGCCCATTCTGGTGTCTCTCCTCCCCACAATGATAGGCTGGAATGTTTCTAAAATCCATATTAAACTACTTACTCATCCTGCACCATTATTATGTAGGAGTACTGAATGATATTTTTGTGGTTTGTTTTATGTAATATTTGAAGTAAGTCTTGAAAATTCAAGTAATAAAAGGGCACTTAGATTAACTGTTTCTCCCGATTTAAAATGGACTTGGACTAAATGCCATTTAGAAAGTGGTCAGATGTAACAAATGTTATATGTGGGATAACACTTTCTCAGTAAAGTTCAGATTCTGGTACTTTTTGGGGTTGAGTCCCATTCAGGATTCTTCGAACCACACTGCCAGAGTGAGGCACCTAATCGCCAGCACACAAAGTCAGCGATCTAACCAGGGGTCTGGAAAATTTAAAATCCCAATTGGACCTTTGCATTTAGGCCACGCCCCCTTCAAATAGCATATCTTAGTACAACTTTTCACACACATAACAAGTTGTTACGTATTCATAATATAATGAATTATGAATTGTTTAAATTTAAATTGTTTAATTCACCGGACAATTAATAACAAATAACATCATTTTAGATTTACATGGAAAACATACGTTTATTTCTGTTATAATAACGATCTGTTAACGTAGTGAACTGTCTAATTAATATTCATGAGTTGTATCTGCTCAAGTGTATGCGTTGTAACATTTGGATCGAGACTATATCCCATATTTAGTTATCATGTGACCTCATGGGAAAAGGTTTTTTTTAAACTAAAGATTTTATAAAAACAAGACAGATAATATAATCACAAATACTAATATCGTTGATAGCAATAGTTATTTGAATGCCTATTACAGTGATTGACCGCTTGGACTAACATGTAGGTATGATGTATTTACAGCAATCAAAACAAAGCTTGTCAGTGTAGATAATCTTCATTGTGTTACAACTGCAGACAGAAACTGCTCAGTGCTAACTGTTGATAATGTCCGGTCAAAATTTAAGAATGTCCGGACAGAAAAATTAAAATGTCAGGTAAGCAATATTTTAAACTGGACATTTGAGATTCCCAATCGGACATGTCCGGCACATATTACTGTTTCCGGACCCCTGGATCTAACCCACTCAGCCACCGAGGCTTCCAGTTTAGTGTCTAGTTTCAGAACATAGGCACTCCACAGGGATTCATGGACAGATTAGGTCTCATGGTTATTGTCAGAGCTGACTTTAATGAGGATTGGATGGTTACAATGGATGACCTGGCTGGTACTGTGTGCCCTGATGGCTCGAAGTTGTTGATCGTGTTGATCATTAGTGTGTCTGGCCAAGATTGATTACTTACTGGCTGCTGTATTATACTGCACTCTGCAGCGTAAAACAACATTCACTTGCCTACTCTGAACAAAACTGTTCAGTTCATTCAGTATTTTCCCAGCAGTTTGTTGTGATTATGTCAGAGAGACAACCAGAGGGGATGGACAAAGACACAGACAGCAGACATCAAGGGGACAATCAGCAGAAGCTAATCAGTTATTAAAAATTGATCCGCAAAGCACTTGTGTATTATTCCATTTGAGACTGTCCTGGAGGGATCTATATACTGTAATGAGCAGAAACTTGCCCTGGTAGTCTGACAAAAGCAGATGATTGACAGCAGCCTTTGGGTGTGACTAGCAGGAGTAGCATCAAAGCTAAGGTCTCGACACAGCTACTTCCTACACTAGTTCAATACTTACAGCCAAAATGAATAACTGTATTATAAGATAGTGACTGCTGGTTGCCTAGAACCATCATGCTCTCTCAAGGATATAATCATTTTTCAGGTTTGATGTATTCTGATTGAGCATCAGTCATTGATGTTGATGTTGTACAGAGTTGATTATACCTGGGAGCAGTGGAGCAGATTTGCCCACCAGAGTTATCTCCCTGCTTTAGGTGCAATTTGAAAATGTTTTGTAAGTTTTTAGCAGTGTACCCTAACACTGTAGCACTGTTTCGGTAGCTTGGTTTCTAGGGCTTCGGTCCTGCCTCACACTGAAGCACATGTTACACATGTGGTGTCTCCTTGGGCAAGTGACTTTGGTCGAAATGTGCCTCTGTTCACCGAACAGTTAATGGGTACCTGGTAGGATGAGATGTCAATATGGTTGTTAACCTAACAGGCAACTTGGGTTGTATACTCCCCAGGAAGCTGAGAATGATTCTTGAATGCACACTGATCCAGTGACCGGGGTAATAATAGCGCTTTGAGCATGTCCCTGAGTGGTGTTGAAATATGCGTAATATTAATGGCCTATTATTGTTGTTGTTATTATTATTATTATTACCCAGCTTATGTACAAGTTCAGAAACCCTCCAGTATTTATGTGGCTTAAGACTTGATGTGTCATAAGCACTTTCTGTAACTAACCACCAAGCTTACTGTGTGGTACACAACCATTGTAGCATTTAGATCAGCCAATTTCATTGACAGTTGGTCAATCATTGTTAGATCAACAAATTGAGTTGGTGAGTTGGTGGGGTTGTTGATTTTGGTATCAGGTTACCATTTATATATCATTGACAGTTGGTGAGTTGGTGGGGTTGTTGATTTTGGTATCAGGTTACCATTTATATATATCATTGACAAACCTAAGTACCTTTCAGAAAGATGGTTGGCAAATAATGGGAAAACATACGTTGGAAAAAAGACCTTCAGTGTGCGGAATTAAAGGGGTTCCATCTTCCTGAGGAAAGAGAGTTAACTGACTGTAAAAGTCCACTTTCCACCTTTGCTGAACTAGGCCTGAGGTTTGAACCTATAGTGTTTGAATCTAGGGACGCCCTAAGTCTTTTGACTTTTAACATCCGGGCAATGACAAGGTGACTTGCATGCTAAATTTGGAACACTGTTCTACATAAACTCATGAACAACAACAAAAAGGGCAGTTAGCATAAATGAGTAATTGGTTTGTACAAGAAGGGATTAGGGTACCTCTGAAGACTCGTGACTGTGACTGAGGTGATCCTGTGGCTGTAAGCTGTGATCTCCCCAGACTAGAACTGACAGGGTTTGTGCTCTCATTGTTATCACCCCTGGATATGATGCTGGGGGATATAGTCATCATCTGGTCTGTCTGTTCGTCCGTCTGTCCAGCCATCTATAGATTGTTTCCAGGGCATAACTTGAACTGTGAAAGATTTTTTCTGCAAACTTGGTACATGTATTAACCAGTGGCTGAAGTGGTGCCTTTTGCTATTTAAGATTTTTTAAGGATTTTATTTTTCTCTGTTTCCACTGAGACAAGTTATACTTAGCAGAAATGCGGGTAGGTGTTTTTTTCTGGAACTATTCAAAAGTTTCCTTCCTAATTTGGTAGATGTATTAATCAGGGGATAAAGTGGTGCCTTGTGCCATTTTTAGATTTGAAGCCAAGTTTGACTTTGACTCTGTTCATAGTGGTGTGTTTGTCTGGACCATATCTCTGGTACTGATAGGTATTCTTCCATGAAACTTTGCACACACAAAGACCAGGTTGTCAACTTGTGCCACATTGACTCTGTTCATAGTGGTGTATACCAGACATAGCAATACAAGTTTCCGAATTCCAATTCCATGGTATTGTTTTGATAGTTCATTAACTACTCTTGTATACGGACAGATAGATAAGATAGAAAATCTCATCAAGTTGGACTTACTGTAACCTGTGGTCAGAGGTTCTTTTGAATTGGGGGCCGGGGGGGGGGGGGGGGGGGGGGGATATGTTGTCTTCTGATGACTCTTGTGTATTTGCTCCCAACCTGGCACTGGTTTCTAGGTTCCAATCATAGAATCAACATGATCATGATCCTTAGCCTATTACCACCATTCCCATTCCCTTGCTTGTTGGTTTCATCAAAGGTGGAAAAGTCTTCACCATTTAACTGAAATACTTAAATCCAAAATCAGTCATTCAAACATGCAAAGTACTACCGGGTATTAATGGGGGCCATGGTTGGCCCAGTTATCTTAAGCACTGTGATTCACTGTGCAGGGTTAGACACAGCCAAATAGTCCCAGACAGGTGAAAATCAAAATGAATTGGTTGCTTTATCCTAAAATCAAGTTATTTTACATAAAGCACTAGTCTGAAATGATTCTATGGACTTGTTGTATATATGGTGTTGTGAAGCAGGATAAAGCCAACAGAAAATAACGATATGTGTTGCGGTCATATGCGGATAGAGATGCAAATATCAAAGTGCAAGTAGAGACTACTTTCAGTGTTTACAAACAAACATTGCGTTGCCCTTGTCATAACGGCAATCGAGTCAGAATTAACCATCCAGGAACCTGGAGAAACTACTGGGATAATTGCTATCATTATTAAAAGAAGATCCGGGGTTGAATGCTTGCCATAAAAGGCGACTGCTTG